GGATGCTACAACGTATTCAAAACCTGTTGGATATTGAATATATTCTATACCTTTTGGATTTAATAAGATTTCCTCAAGAAATGGGCCAGGAAAACTCAGAAAAAAAGAATTACAACTTTACAAGTGGGAAGTAGGAAATTTCCACATAAAAATAGCATGTAAAGGCAGCATTATAATATGTTGTACTCAAAACTCACTGTAAACCACCATTGGATATTTGTAATAACTTCTGATTGCAATCGAATGTAGGTTTTGATCATACAATGAGGCAGACATATTTATTTGTAGCATTTTAGAATAAACTTATCGCTACATCTGCTTAGTAATTCTCATGTAAACAGTTTTTTTTATATAAAAATAACCCAAATCATACGAAAATCACATTCAAATCATTATACTATAGAAATGATATCAAGAGTTAATTTGCAAAATCCAATAACTCAACTTATAACAATAAGTTAAAACAATAACTCAAAAGTTGGTTTGTTTTGATTAAGGAATAATAACTTAAACAAATACAGGTAATTTACAAAATTTAAGTTCATTGAAAGTATGTTTTTTTACATACTACAAGTTTGTTTTATAGCAAAAGCAGATAACTCCAACATTCGTTTTTTGGCAAAAGCAAATAACTCCACATTTCATGTTTTGGAGTAAAAAAAACACTTGTTTAATCTTTGTAATCTCCTCCGATGACAATGTAGATGCCTGACAAACGTTGCTGTTGTTGTGATCATAAACTGTATGGATGTGATTACACGCAATACACTGAGCTTTTCCCTCATTATTGCAACGCGCTGCTTATGCAAGGTTGAGTGAAAACGTTTCAGCTTTTATTGTCCTTTTTCGCCCTGAAGAAGATATCACAGGTTCATCAAGTTCGTCGAAATTATCCATCCTCGATCACTTTTAGTCAGCTTTGAAAAAACTCCTCTCAGCTAACCCATCTTTTCAAAGTGAAAGTAGCCTTATCATCTGACCTGAATACAGTGCGCTGATTCGCTAAAATGGACTTATCGGTTTCTGTTCAAAAACAACAAGGGCACTTGTCGGCTTCTGCAGTAAAACGTGAACTCATGATGCCTTGAAAGTGGACAAAACTGGCTTTTTTGACAAAACGTTTTTAGGGTTCAGATCGCGCTAAATAATTAATGGCAATCAGCGCTTTTTTTTTAAAGTGGCGTTTATCGGTTTTTGCAAATTAACTCTTCATATGTTTATTAGCTTCATGTTTCCTGTGTAGAAACATTGTTTCTGGGTTTGTTATGTACGGAACAAATGTGTAGTGGAACTTTGTAGAAGCGTAGTGGAACTTCATCATCGGAAGATACAGAATGGGTTATGAACATGCGATATGAGTGGCATATAAGCAGCGAATGATCGTTCTCGGAGTCAAAACAGCAAGAGCTATAAAAAAAAACTAAACAAAAAAAACAGACAGACAGTGCAGGAAGCCACTAATGCTCATCAGATCACATTATTGAATGAAAAAATAACAGAAATTATGATTATAAGTAAAAATGTGTAAATACTATATATCCTAACAGTCACAAAGATGCACACATATGAAGTCAGAAGAGGAGAAAGTGTGAAATTACCAATGTTGTGGAGTGTAATGAAAAAGTAGTGCAACAAATTACTGTTGCCAGGGAGTAATAAGTAAAGCAAAAAGTATTACTTTTCAAAGTAGTAACACATTTTGAGTAAAAAGGCCAACTCTGCAAATGGAAATCTAATTTTATTTTTTAATACTTCTCCAAAATGGTATCGTGCCTATTCTGTGACCTATATGTGCTCTAGAGGAATATGAAGAAATCATAGAAACCCTAATTCCCTCTTCTACAAACCCACGATAAGGAAAGTGTTTTAGGGTCATTGTGTTAAGATGTCTTACAGCGGTATCATGTACAATTCTGGATGTTTTCAGACTCAAGTCTTACTGAGGACAGTTGTTTTTTTCTTCTTCTATATTTCTGCTGCTGACACAGCCTGCAGCCGCATGTATAACAGGATTAAGACAATCTGCTACTGAGACTGATAATCTTATGCACAGGAGGGGAAATGCCTCACAGTTTCTCTTTTCATTTATTTATCTCATCCATTCGTCTATTTCATGCACGCTTGCCTCGGGGTCCGCGTTTCTGCACATTCACTGAGCTGCTGAGCGGCGTACAGAGACGCTAACCTCAACTGCTTCACCTTCACCGACAGAGTAAGACAGTCATTAATCAAAATGAAATGAAGATTCGACGCTGCAGTCTGAGAGGAACACACTTTGAGGAGAATATACTTCTGCATGGCAGAGATGTGTTGATAAACGACTGTGTCTCTCATTTCTCATTACTTTAATTTTGTTGTGAGAAAATTTGAGAAGAACATTGTTGTCAAATGTAAATTGTGGCATTATGTACTCTTGCATTACAAGGCTTGTCCATCCACATCCCTTTTATCTTGATACAAATTATTCTCACCTACACTCTTAAAAATAAAGGTGCTTCACGATGCCATAGAAGAACCGTTTTGTCTAAATGGTTCCATTAAGAACCTTTAACATCTGAAGAACCTTTCTGTTTCACAAAAGCTTCTTTGTGGCGAAAGAAGGTTCTTCAGATTATAAAAAGGTAAGAAAGAGATGGTTCTTTAAAGAACCTTTGACTGAATGGTTCTTTGTGGAACCAAAAATGGTTCTTCTATGGCATCGCTTGAAGAACCTTTTGAAGCACCTTTATTTTTAAGAGTGTATTATCAAAAGCCTTTCTAGAATCCTGCGTGATTTTTGACAACATACATATACAAACATGAATAAATAATTGCACCTGGCTAACAGCTGCATTATAAATGCAATTAGCATGAAGCAACACTTGGCAGTTTTCTGCAAAAAATATGGGTTTCCTAGTCTGAAACTGGACATGAATGGCCTCTCCAGTCTTTTTACAACTAGGAAACTCAGAAACTTGGGTGTTAACATTGTCTCTGAGTAGGATGGGCCATACAATTTAAACATGGTGGAGGAAAGAAAGAATATTTACGTGCAGTGAATGTTAATATGGTTGCCAATGAATGGGATGCTACAACGTATTCAAAACCTGTTGGATATTGAATATATTCTATACCTTTTGGATTTAATAAGATTTCCTCAAGAAATGGGCCAGGAAAACTCAGAAAAAAAGAATTACAACTTTACAAGTGGGAAGTAGGAAATTTCCACATAAAAATAGCATGTAAAGGCAGCATTATAATATGTTGTACTCAAAACTCACTGTAAACCACCATTGGATATTTGTAATAACTTCTGATTGCAATCGAATGTAGGTTTTGATCATACAATGAGGCAGACATATTTATTTGTAGCATTTTAGAATAAACTTATCGCTACATCTGCTTAGTAATTCTCATGTAAACAGTTTTTTTTATATAAAAATAACCCAAATCATACGAAAATCACATTCAAATCATTATACTATAGAAATGATATCAAGAGTTAATTTGCAAAATCCAATAACTCAACTTATAACAATAAGTTAAAACAATAACTCAAAAGTTGGTTTGTTTTGATTAAGGAATAATAACTTAAACAAATACAGGTAATTTACAAAATTTAAGTTCATTGAAAGTATGTTTTTTTACATACTACAAGTTTGTTTTATAGCAAAAGCAGATAACTCCAACATTCGTTTTTTGGCAAAAGCAAATAACTCCACATTTCATGTTTTGGAGTAAAAAAAACACTTGTTTAATCTTTGTAATCTCCTCCGATGACAATGTAGATGCCTGACAAACGTTGCTGTTGTTGTGATCATAAACTGTATGGATGTGATTACACGCAATACACTGAGCTTTTCCCTCATTATTGCAACGCGCTGCTTATGCAAGGTTGAGTGAAAACGTTTCAGCTTTTATTGTCCTTTTTCGCCCTGAAGAAGATATCACAGGTTCATCAAGTTCGTCGAAATTATCCATCCTCGATCACTTTTAGTCAGCTTTGAAAAAACTCCTCTCAGCTAACCCATCTTTTCAAAGTGAAAGTAGCCTTATCATCTGACCTGAATACAGTGCGCTGATTCGCTAAAATGGACTTATCGGTTTCTGTTCAAAAACAACAAGGGCACTTGTCGGCTTCTGCAGTAAAACGTGAACTCATGATGCCTTGAAAGTGGACAAAACTGGCTTTTTTGACAAAACGTTTTTAGGGTTCAGATCGCGCTAAATAATTAATGGCAATCAGCTCTTTTTTTTTTAAAGTGGCGTTTATCGGTTTTTGCAAATTAACTCTTCATATGTTTATTAGCTTCATGTTTCCTGTGTAGAAACATTGTTTCTGGGTTTGTTATGTACGGAACAAATGTGTAGTGGAACTTTGTAGAAGCGTAGTGGAACTTCATCATCGGAAGATACAGAATGGGTTATGAACATGCGATATGAGTGGCATATAAGCAGCGAATGATCGTTCTCGGAGTCAAAACAGCAAGAGCTATAAAAAAAAACTAAACAAAAAAAACAGACAGACAGTGCAGGAAGCCACTAATGCTCATCAGATCACATTATTGAATGAAAAAATAACAGAAATTATGATTATAAGTAAAAATGTGTAAATACTATATATCCTAACAGTCACAAAGATGCACACATATGAAGTCAGAAGAGGAGAAAGTGTGAAATTACCAATGTTGTGGAGTGTAATGAAAAAGTAGTGCAACAAATTACTGTTGCCAGGGAGTAATAAGTAAAGCAAAAAGTATTACTTTTCAAAGTAGTAACACATTTTGAGTAAAAAGGCCAACTCTGCAAATGGAAATCTAATTTTATTTTTTAATACTTCTCCAAAATGGTATCGTGCCTATTCTGTGACCTATATGTGCTCTAGAGGAATATGAAGAAATCATAGAAACCCTAATTCCCTCTTCTACAAACCCACGATAAGGAAAGTGTTTTAGGGTCATTGTGTTAAGATGTCTTACAGCGGTATCATGTACAATTCTGGATGTTTTCAGACTCAAGTCTTACTGAGGACAGTTGTTTTTTTCTTCTTCTATATTTCTGCTGCTGACACAGCCTGCAGCCGCATGTATAACAGGATTAAGACAATCTGCTACTGAGACTGATAATCTTATGCACAGGAGGGGAAATGCCTCACAGTTTCTCTTTTCATTTATTTATCTCATCCATTCGTCTATTTCATGCACGCTTGCCTCGGGGTCCGCGTTTCTGCACATTCACTGAGCTGCTGAGCGGCGTACAGAGACGCTAACCTCAACTGCTTCACCTTCACCGACAGAGTAAGACAGTCATTAATCAAAATGAAATGAAGATTCGACGCTGCAGTCTGAGAGAAACACACTTTGAGGAGAATATACTTCTGCATGGCAGAGATGTGTTGATAAACGACTGTGTCTCTCATTTCAATCAGTCTGTTCAATGATTCATGTTTTTGTTGAGATGTCTGACGAATACTTTTTGAAAGGTAATGCCGCTGAGACTAAGTGTTTTGGCAAAATAGAAATTGTTTTCAGTTGATTATGCAAATTTGTTCAGCTCTGGGCAAATGGCTGACTGATTATTGATTAGGGCAGTCAAGTCAATATCTGCAGCATCAATTCAAGTCATTGTTTCAGATATTGATTGACAATAGAAGAGCCACTGTAGCTTTAGTGATCACTATTTTGAAAAAAAATTAATAAAAAATAAGTAAATTCCTGATGCAAAATGAAGAATTCCACTAATTAAATGGCTATGTACCACATAATGACATGAAATATTAACTAAAATTATTGACTGCAAAAAGTTCAGTCCTGGAATTGTTGCTTTAAAGAGAGATTTCTGCCTGATTTAACCCACATAAAATAATTTTGCTGCTGTAAATTAGTGCTATTTGGTGCTATAAAGTTTTTAGATTGATTCAGCAGTATTATTATGTATTTGAATAAATTTGTTTAATTTAAATTAAAACTTAAAACATGAAACTATAATGCAGTTTTAAATTCAATTCAGTTGTTAGGTAAATATGGACTGATAAATATGATAAATATGCCTTACCCATTGGGGTGCCGACCCCGTAGGCCTTGGAGTCTATGAGGCCTCCGATCTGCGTGAGGTTGCAGTTGCGCTGAGTGACAAATTCGATGGTGGTGGACTCCATAAGGAAAGCATAATCAGAGGTGAGCACACGTTCGATTCCTTCCTCGATGCTCTTCACCATCACCGAATGTCTTCGACTGCTCATGAACTCCCACATCTTATCATAAGTGGAGATCTTTGATTTCTGGGACAAGAAGTCAAATTCATTATCAGACTTTTAATACATAATGCTATTTGACAGACAATATGCTGTCCTTCTAATATGACATTACATTTTAACATGTCAATAATAAACAGTAAATACAATTGGGAATAAACAGAACACAAAATTTGAGCCCAAACCAAAAACAACAACAACAACAATAATAATAATATTAATAATAATAATAATATAAAACTCCAGTACCCAATGTTATAATCTTAAATATAAAAAGGATTTGGATAGACACTGAAACACACAACAGCAAAATACTGACAACTTCTAAAATGAAAATGGACATACTTTAGAAATGTAAAAGTTAGAACTGTAATTTTCATAATTTATTAAATAATGTTGCAGGTAACTGAATTCAATCCCATGACAGAACTTTAATTTATCACTAAATGATAGAGAAAGAATTTTCAGAGAAATGCCTTTTTAATGACAACTTAATTTGTAATTGAAATCAAGAGGAGCTAATAAAAGTAAAGTCATTTGCACTCTTTGTATGAATAACTTTTGTTGCATGCAGAGCCGATCCTCCCTATACACAAAATACGCAAGCTGCGTAGGGCCCCCGAAACACCCTTGCTCTCAAATATGATTTAATTTTATTTTCGTTTTTGAATTTGGCCAGAGGTTATGAAAACATGAATGATAATTTATTGTAATGCTGTGCGCTGTCGCCCTGTCTACGTAAAAATCTGTCAAATCATGTAATGTGAAAGTCTTACAGTCTTGCTTGAGACAAAAAAAAAACAAGTTGAATGCGTACCGAGCTGCAGAAGAGACACTGTTTCTCAAGCGCTTTCTGCGATAATATCATGAATTATATATATAAAAAAAAAATAACTCTTTGAATTCACAATTATGCACATCAAACGATTCACAGATCTTTGTCTCTAAAATAGTATGCCTGAAATTTTTATGAGATCACATTTAATTATCAATAAACCACCCACAGACCAGCTTTTCTCACTCACACTGCTCTCTTGCTGGGAACACAAAGCATATGCAGGTAATTTTTAAAATAATCTTTTTAAGAAGAATCATACAGCTATTGGTTAAAATGTCATATGTTTGCCCCCTTTACATGATTACTACTGCATAAATTGTGGCAGAAGCACACAAATCTGTTTATGACTAATCCTGACTAATCTCCAAAACTGAAATGTGTACTGACAGCATGCAAAATTCAGCAGACAAAATAATACCATCTTATTCCAGAAGAACTACAAATAAACCCCAAATCAACTTAGATATTAAGGTTAGTAGCGAGAGAAACGGTTGCCGATTGCAAAGAATCTTCAACCATTTTAAACTCAGGTCTTTTTGTGCCTCTGATAACTCATCTGATGGCATTTGAAACCTAATTAAGTCACATACTCAAGGTCCTGCCTGCCATTATTGTGTGTAATGACTTTTTGTGGCCGGTCGATATTTTAGATCAACTGGGTGATTTGCCAAGTGCCTATCGAACTACAAATAAACCCCAAATCAACTTAGATATTAAGGTTAGTAGCGAGAGAAACGGTTGCCGATTGCAAAGAATCTTCAACCATTTTAAACTCAGGTCTTTTTGTGCCTCTGATAACTCATCTGATGGCATTTGAAACCTAATTAAGTCACATACTCAAGGTCCTGCCTGCCATTATTGTGTGTAATGACTTTTTGTGGCCGGTCGATATTTTAGATCAACTGGGTGATTTGCCAAGAGCCTATCAGAATCTTCTGGCGTTACCCTTGACAAATCAGCCGATTGCACATGTAGACTACACCTGCTGATGAGGCAAAACCATGGGGGCCGAGATAGATAGACAGAAAGAAAGAGATGGAAATTAAAATCTCAAGGAATAAATAACCAAATGCATATTTCTTCTCATTGGTTTATTGTACTATTCAACTTGTATACATAGATTTTTGTGAAGGCAGTCCACTAGGTTTTGGAGCAGAGCTTACCATTTATTTTAGATCAACTGGGTGATTTGCCAAGTGCCTATCAGAATCTTCTGGAGTTACCCTTGACAAATCAGCCGATTGCACATGTAGACTACACCTGCTGATGAGGCAAAACCATGGGGGCCGAGATAGATAGACAGAAAAAAAGAGATGGAAATTAAAATCTCAAGGAATAAATAACCAAATGCATATTTCTTCTCATTGGTTTATTGTACTATTCAACTTGTATACATAGATTTTTGTGAAGGCAGTCCACTAGGTTTTGGAGCAGAGCTTACCATTGGACCATATGCAATAAAACAATATATATATATATTAGAGATGTACCGATTGCAATTTTCTTGGCCGATTCCGATTTCCGATTTTTTTGGAAGTGTGACCTGCCGATACCGATTTTTGCAGATTCCGATTTTCTTTCTAAGAACTATAATTGACAGCATATACATACAAAAATCGATGCAAATTTCAATGCAACAATCATTTACATAATAAAATACATTATTAAACATTACAATTCCCCCAATCTGGACTAAGTTACAGATTTTCTCTCACTTAAACAGCTCTCAAAATAAAGTGCTCTGTGACTGGAAAGAGGAAGAAATAGTTAACTTAAAATGAGTTGCTGTATGTAACAAAACAGATGTAATTTCCCACTATGTTTATAAATGGAAATTTTTCCCCCAACCTTAATTAAATGCGTCATCTTTCACATCAAATTCTTACTTTGTTTAAATTAATTCAGTTAGAATAATAAGAAACTGTAGAGTTGTTACAATTCAAATTAAATTAGTATTTTTAGCCGGCAATAAGTATTAGTATTTTTAGCCGGCAATAAAAGGATCTACTCGGAATCGGCAAGACGTGAGACTGACCGGCCAGTCACCGATCCGGGCTGGTCATGTGAAAAGTTGGCTGATCAATCGGTGCATCTTTAACATATATATATATATATATATAAATATATATACATACATACTTACATTTTTTTCACAATACAAGGAAACTATATTTTAGTAGGATGTTTTTTAGCACACAAACATTACTTAGACACACACTTGATCATGTCTGACAAAATTATTCTGCTTTTTGATATCGAACCAACCTCCACAATCCTTTAAGTGTGAGGTGAAGAAGTCCCTCTGTGTCACTTCTCTAGTATTTCTCTCTCATTTTCACGCCATTCTTCCTGTGATGCTATCTGTGTATTGCGGTTGATTGTGTGGATTGATTAGCAGTGATTTGTCGATCAGTGATCATGCTCAAGTGTTCACAGATTGCACTACTTTAATATGCTCTTGGTTCTCGGTCTGTTCTGAGGCTTTGATTAATTTACTGCACACTACAATCAGACCCGACGCATCCTCCTCTGTTGCTGTTATTCTTACAGATGACAAGATAATGAAAATGGAACAAATGCATTATCTGTTATGACTCTGAGAAAAATGGTAGAAAAATTAGTTGGTTCTGATAAATAGACGTTATCGTGGGAGTGATGTGCTTTCTTTTAATAAAAGAAGGACATGTTCCAGAAAATATTTAACTAGCTTTTTTGACTGATAAGGGACATCCATCAGTTTTCACTGAGAATCATACAACAAAACATGCAGCATTATTGATGTATTGGATGTGTAAAAGTAAACATATGAATGTTGTTGACTCCTGTGTGGACATTTTATTTTCCATTTTGCTTATATAGTATTGCAGGGATGACATATTTATGTAGGCCAAAACCTGGAAACAAATTAGCATTTTAGCACTTCTGGTTCCATCGTTCCAAAGTCAATGGGTTTTGCTAACAGGTTTTTGGTAAATGCCTGAAATAAGATCTGTAGTGAACACAAGATCAAGATATTTTCTTGTTTTGCTAAATGGCATAAAATAGCACCATGTGATTTTGTAAAACATTTACTTATCTTGAAAGAGGACGATTGCTAACAAGTGTCTAAAAAGGTTTGTTAAACAAAGACTGAAAGAGAGTTCAGAAGGTAATTGGTGATGATGATAAAGTCATGTGACTGTGGTGTAGTTTATGTATAGCTTACACTTTTTGCTTTTGGTGGTTTTATTTAGGCATCATGTTGTGTTAATTTGTGAAAATTCTCAAAAAAAAAAAAAGTTTAAGAATCACTTAGTTTTGTTGATCACAGATCTTATGTTCTGCAAAAATCTAAAAGCCAATGGAAAACTCCTATTGGGTATTGGTTGAGGGAACCAGGGTGATGCAAATTTCTGGGTTGGCCTGCAAATATACGTCATCACTGCACCACTCTGTTGGCTGGGACAGTGGTGGTGCTTAAAGAATGACTGGCGGTTCAAATTCCCAGACAATTAAAAAGTATGCTGCACCCATGTTAGCTATCCTTTACTTCATGCAGCTGATGCTTAAACTGCCATAGAACGACTTCAAACCATCACATAAATATTAAAATAGAGCACTCTAAATCTTAATTGATGTCTAAATGTGTCCACATCTCTGCCTAAGAACTCAGGCCTGGAGTATCCAGAGCTGAATGTTAAGCAGTACGAGCTTACATTAGAGTGAAATGGCCCATTATTACTTAATACACTTTAATGTTGTGTAAAACACATTTAAACTGCGTTTAAACTCCACTTATCATATGTGATGGTGAAGTACTACTACATAACGGTGTCATATTAAAACAGAAGACTAGGAAGCTTTAGGGGTTTGTTTTTGAGCTGAAATGCAGTGTAGTTCTCAGGTTTGTAGATGTTGGAGCAGTGGCATACAATAGACAATATATTTAAATGTATTTACATTGATTTCATATTAAATCATGTGTTATTACCTTGTTATAACATGAAAATCAATTCTCGTTGATGTTCTGATTTGAACATATATTTTACACAAATCAATTCAAGTAATCAAGGTATTAAATCAAGATTGAAAGATACAAGCATGAACATTGAACAGGCTTTAAAAAAAAACAAAGGATAAGAAGAGAAGAACAAAAGGAAAGAATGGAGGGAAGAAAACTGTATCACTAATGAGTTCTTTATGTGTTGTTTCGTTGAATGGCAGAGGACTAACACAATACCAGAAAATGGAGAGATTAATATATTTGACTAAAAATGGTGATGTATTATGTTTACAAGAAACTTTTTGGGGAGAAAAAAATAAGTGATGAAATAAGAAAATGATGGGATGGAGAAATGTATCTGAATTGTGATTTGGAGAGGAAGGGGGGTGTTGTGATATTAATCAAAAGAGGGGTTTTTGAGGCAAATGAAGTAGAATATAAAGACACGAATGGTAGAATTATAATAGTTAAATTAATATATAAAGGCAAAGAAATACAAGTGTGCAACATCCATGCACCAAATGAAGAAAAAGAAAAATTAGTATTTTACAAAAGCTTGAATATGTTAAAAATCAATCAAGAAATAGTCAAATTATTAAATTAACGTGTTAAATGCATTAAATAAAACAAAGGTATTCAATGTGTTTAATCAAATTGCAATTATTACATATTTATTAATGTATCATTATTCTGTTATAAAAGCAATGTAATCGGGATAAATCACATTTTTTGTAGATGTTAGAACATGTTAATAGAGTCCTTCTCAAGGAAAAGAAAAAAAATCTAAATCTGCATCAAAATTGTGATCTCAATGCAAAATTTTCGATAACTCTTTCTTTTCTCACAATTTATAGATATAATCATACGTAGAGATGTTTTCGCTACTGGCCTGGAGTTTTGCTCATGAGTGATATTTCATATATGTTTAGCTTCAATAATAATTCTATTCCACCATGAAAATACATTTTTGTTGACGTTCCGACTTATAAACATATTTTGTACACAAATCAATTGTGTGATTGCCAAATCAAAAGTAACTGTTATGACCAGCATTTAAAAATCACAGAAGGAATAGTCAAATTAAATAAATGTGTTAAATGCATTAAATAAACAATGATGTTTAATTAGTTGCAGTTGTTAAATGTTCATTTTGCTAATACTAATTGTTATATATTATATATTTCTGTGGTGTAAACTGAATGTATTGAGCCATAAATCCAGCAAAAATAATAAGACTCTCACTAAATCTTTGAGTTCTCCAGCACACAGTGCTGTGTAGATTGCACGTCTTTTCTCTATGTGAGATATTCCACCGAGAGGCCGTGTGCAATGAAGGAGATCAGTCCAAAACAAACATCTCCTGGCCTTACCCATAGCTCAGCCACTGATAATGATGCTGGAAACTGCAGCAGGCAGGTGGCTGTCCATTTTAATTCACATTCTCATTATATTGGCACACGCAGGAAGGCGACAGTCTTTGTGAAGCGTACGGCAGTTTAACAGAATAAATCTCTCACACAGACCAAAATGTGAAGATATTTTTTAAAAAAAAGAAAGAAAAAAAAGCTGTTAACAATTCAATTTTCAAAAAGCAGACGCGTAGGTTGTGCCGTGAGAAAGAACCACAGAGATTATGTGCACAAGGAAAGGAGCATCCACAGGGAAGGGCGAGTGATTATGTATGCAAGTTTGTGTGTGTGTGTAATGGTAGAAAGTCTTCTGACTCTCTATTGTTAGACTCATCAAAATGCCTTTGATTAGGCCTCATATAAATACATAACACGTAACTGCATCTTTTTGAAATATCAGATGTGCCTTGTCTACGTATATACCCTATCCACAACATTAAAAAAACATAGAAATGTTTATTGATTCTTAGCAAAATTTCTATCAGCATATTTCATGAAAGTACAGATTTTCAATAACTCCACCGCACTGCCTGATCTGAGCACTCGGATGTCAAAGGAAAGAACAACAGAGATGGATGAAGATCTGGAAATCTCTGAGCAGAATACTGGAAATGCAGACCTCCTATATAGTAACACTTTAGTTTAAGGACAGATTCTCACTATCAACTAGCATTCATATTACTACCATACTGGATGTTTATGGTACCCATACCTAAACTTAACTACTACCTTTCTAACTATTAATAAGCAGTAAATCACAACATGCATATTGTGTATTTACTTTGTAGTTAAATAATTATAATTGTTTTATGATAACAGAAAAGTAATTAATTATTTACTGCGTAAATACTAAATCTATTGTCTTTAGGATTTAGTAAATAGCAGTACATACTGCAAAAATTTACAGATTAAAGGGGTCCTATTATGCTTTTTGAAAACACACACATACACATACACACACACATACACTGAAACGTCCTGTAAAATCTGTGATTGCAAAGGTTATGCATGATTTTCTAATTATTAAACATTCTCAGGGTTCTGAATCGTGCTCAAATTGGCATGGCAAAATTGATACCATCATTAATATTTACAGCTGAGCAGACGAAACTCATGGTTATGGTAAGGGGGTGCGTCATTTCCGGAACATGTTTTAAGTGGTTCACAAAACCACAATGCACTGGGTCAGCTAGCCAATCAGAGCACATTTCATAATTCGGAAGGAGGGGTTTCAACAAGTGTTTGAGACAGACTGGGAAGAGATGTGCTGCAATTACGTAAAACGAGAAAAATGATGTGTTTTGGAACAATCAAGCATGGAAATCTATTCTAGCACACCACAAAAACAAAATAAAGACTTCATAAAAGGGCAGAGTAGGATCACTTTAAATAAATAAATATGGTGGTCCCCAAATGGGTGGTTTTAGGGCAGTTGTTATCTACTTTCATGGGGCAAGTTTGTCATCTAAGTGTAGCTTAGCAAACCCACACAAACTTTTTTTTTTTTTTTCATGAAAGCTGTCTGAACTGTCAATAGTCTTTTTATTTGAATGTCTTTGAATTGCTGATTAATTTAAGCACAAATGTTTCAAGTACAGATGAAAAATACTGCCTATTCAGTGTCATCCAGAGCTAGAGCTGCATAAGGCAGCTTGCACAGTCCTGACATCAGGGGCTCAACTGCACATTTTTCCCGAGGGGTATGCAAGATCAGTGTCTGCGCCCCCCTGTATTCTAGTAGCCTCTAACACTAACTCGCGCAGAAAACTTTCTGCAAGTCAGTGACCAAAAAGCCCATTACTAGCTTGTGCATGGAAGGATACAAACTCATCAGGAGTGAAAGAAGTGACAAAGGTTTGAACCCCTATTTTTTGTCAAAGTTCAGCATTGTTTAGTATTGAAGTATGAAGTAGAAAGAGTTTTCAACTCATTGAATCTACTTGAATCACACAGATGGCCTATTTTGAATTCAAAATGGCAATTTTCAGTGAAAGGTGGCTAGTTTGTATCCTTGTTTACAATCTTAGTTTCTCTCAAATGTAAATCAAAGTAAAACAAATAAAAACAAGAAAAAAAGAAAAAGAAAAGTGTGTCACATAACATCCCCTTTAACTCCTGATGGCAGACCCCAGACAGTAAAACACATTTTTTTTTGATTATTCATTTTTATTTTATAACACTATTGCTCACTTTTTAGTTAGGTAATTTGAATATATATATATACATATATATATATATATATATATATATAAAATTAATTTCTTATTATGTTATGTACTCGATAACTTAAAGGTTTGGTGTTTTTATTGCTCCTTAGATCTGTGTTGGACTGTAATGTTGGCGAACACTAAGGCCAGTGTTATCAGAGGACTTGCTAACATGAAGAAAACAGTCCAGAGGTCTGTAATTATACGTAATTAACGGATTTTAACTTAATTACTTAATTTAAACTTTAGTAATTTTAACTGCTTCTATTAATTTAAATTCTTTAAGATTGCTGCGTGATAACTAGCCCTTAAGGCTGCATGCATTTATTTGATCAAAAATAAAGTTCAAAAATAAATCTTGTGAAATATTATTCTGTTCTACTAATAAATTAATTTCTTATTATGTTATGTACTCGATAACTTAAAGGTTTGGTGTTTTTATTGCTCCTTAGATCTGTGTTGGACTGTAATGTTGGCGAACACTAAGGCCAGTGTTATCAGAGGACTTGCTAACATGAAGAAAACAGTCCAGAGGTCTGTAATTATACGTAATTAACGGATTTTAACTTAATTACTTAATTTAAACTGTTAATTTTAATTGTTTTAAGATTGCTGCGTGATAATTAGTGTGATGAGCTAGCAATGTTAATGTTTAAGTGCTAACACTTTAGGCTGCATGCATTTATTTGATCAAAAATAAAGTTAAAAAAAGTAATATTGTGAAATATTATTGCAATGTGAAATAACTATTTTCTATTTGAATATATTTTAAAATGTAGTTTATGCCTGTGCATTTTCAGCATCGTTACTGCAGTCTTTAGTGTCACATGATCCTTCAGAAATCATTCTAACATGCTGATTTAGTGCTGCATTTTTATTGGTACTCAGTTATCAATAATGGTTCTTATTATTATCGTATTTGCTGCTTAATATTTCCTGGAAACATTTTTATAATTCTTTGATTAATAGAAAGTTCAAAATAACATAATTTATTTGAAATACATATGTTTTTAAACATTATAAATGTTTTTAATTTTATAAATTTAATGCCTATATGCTGAATAAAAACAGTAATTTCTATTAAATAACACACACACACACACACACACACACACACACATCAATCAATTACTTTTTACAATATATTCACAAAGAAAATAAACATTTTAACTGATAATAACTTTTAAAATTGTAATTAAATGTATTTCTGTGATGGCAAAGCTGAATAAATAACTTTTAATTCATCAATAAATCCTGAAAAAAGTATCACAGGTTCCCCCAAAAATTAAACAGCACAACTGTTTCCAACACTGAGCTTTGATCAAAGCAATAAATAATATTTTGAAGTACATTAATATAGAAAACCATTATTTAAAATTGTAATACTTTACAATATTACTGTTTTTTTCTGAATTTTTGATCATATAAATGCTGGCTTGATAAGCAAGAGACTTATTGTAAAAACATTAAAAGTAGTAATGTGTCCAAACTTTTGACCAGCCCAGTCCCCTTATTAAGCAGGCAGAATGCTTTAAGGTGCATCCTGAATGATAAAAACAGAGAGGGACACTGAAGAGACATGTTTTACATTATATCGTTTGGTATGGATTTTTATTTATAAAATATTTGCCAAAAGATGGTTTTATTTCTGATAACAGTATGCTCCATGTTAATTGAGTAAATTAATTGAGAAATTGTCCAGCAACACTATATAACAATTTGTTTCAATTTCAGGTTCCACCTGAGAGCCGGGACTGTCAAATAGTAAGGTGAGTCCCTATTTATTTATTTTTTTTGAAGTGTTCAGTGCAGGTTGAGATATTCAAGCTATTTGAATGCCACAATGGATAATTGAGTATTGAAAATATTGAGTGCCTGATAATGTTACTAGTGCGGTTCAAAACACACTGTTTGTTAGGACCGATTGTGGCTTGCAGCTTTCTGGAGAAATGCTCCTTCAAATAACTTCACACTCAGCATCCTGAACAATATACCTGTTATAACAGTCATAGTCCTCTAGCAATGCTATAGTCTGTGTGTCATTTGGGCACAAACTATTTTTTCATCTCAAGTCGGTGATTAAAGTAAGTGTGTAATGGAAAATTACAGGAAAATAAAAAATGCTTACCATGGATAACATTTATGATGTGGAAAAGCATATACAAGTGCATGCATAATTATCATATTCTGATCATATTTTTTAAGCACTTTACCAATTTCAAACCACATCAATAACTATTCATTTAGTTTACAATCATATATCTTATAATTATATAATCAATAAGAACTGGAAGTGAAAAATGCTCACTGATGCTCCAGAAGGAAACACAATGCATTAAGGGGGTGAAAACGTTTGTGTACATTTTTCTTATTTTGCCTAAATATATATTTGTTCATTTAGTACTGCCTTTCAGAAGCTACAGAAGATACTTACATGTTTCCCAGAAGACAACATAAGTTCAATTTACACTGATCTTCAAATTCAAAAAGTTTTCACCCCCTTAATGCATTGTGTTTCCTTCTGGAGCATCAGTGAATGTTTGAACCTTCTGTAATAGTTGCATATGAGTCCCTCAGTTGTTCTCAGTGTGAAAAGATGGACCTCAAAATCATAGTCATTGTAGGAAAGGGTTCAAATACACAGAAATGCTGAAAAAGCAACACATTTGTGGGACCAGAAGTATTTTTCTGAAGAACAGCAGGCAGTTCAACTGTTCAGGACAAACAAGGGACTCATGAACAACTATCACTAAACAAAAAAAAACAAAAAAACAAAAGCAAGCTGTGGATCATTCAGGTAACAACACAGTATTAAGAATCAAGTGTATGTAAACTTTTGAACGGGGTCATTTTTATAAAGTCAACTATTATTTTCTCTTGTGGACAATATATTTTATGTGAAATATCTGATTCAGGCCAGTACTAAATCAAAAATAACATGCATTTTGTATGATCCCTCTTTTGGTAAAATAAGTAACATTTTGCAGATTCTGCAAGGTGTATGTAAACTTTTGATCTTATGTGTGTGTGTGTGTGTGTATATATATAGTATGTGTGTGTATATGTACAGTATGTATGTATGTCTATATGTGTATATATGGCAATAACATTTGTGTCCACATTTAATGTTTTTTTTAGAGACAATGAAAAGGAGGGAACTGTCTTTTAAGCTGTGGCTTCAGACGGAGGGCTCGCATTTACGTCACAAACAGCATTGCAGAGGACTCTATTACAGCTAGAACCAACTCAAGCACACAATGGTGACACACATTTATAAGAACTCCCTGTGATATGAAAGTTTCCCTGTGGTAGTTATTCAGATTCTTCTCATTCTCATTGTGTAGCACTGGTTTAAAGGGTTAGTTCACCCAAAAAATGAAAATTCTGTCATTAATTAGTCACCCTCATGTCGTTCTAAACCCGTAAAGACCTCCGTTCATCTTCGGAACACAAATTAAGTTGGAACTACTACGATCAAGGTCCAGAAACGTAGCAAGGAAATCGGTAAAATAATCCATGTATCCATCCATATTAGTTCCATTGCTGTCTATGGGAGGATCAGAGAGCTCTTGGAATTCATAAAAAATATCTTCATTTGTGTTCCGAAGATGAACGGAGGTCTTACGGGTTTAGAACGACATGAGGGTGACTAATTAATGACAGAATTTTCATTTCTGGGTGAACTAACCCTTTAAGCTTAGTGAATATTACGTACAGTAAGCACTAGAACTAGAGACTTGTGCTACTTGGGGTAGTCTTTTAAATAAACTTTAATTTTGCTTTTTTTGTGCAAAAATTATCAACAGGAAAGAAAATATGCACAGTGGCAAATCTTTTGCATTGTTTTTTTGTAGTAATTCAATCGTTTTAATATGAATATTGTTTTAATAGAGTGTTCAGTACAGTAATTGTCTGTACAGCTAAATCAGTACTTTAAACTTTGTGTTGTCTAAGAGCTTCGTATAACAACTTAACAAAAACATATCAGTGGCATAAGACAGTAAGATATTTAATTATGTATTTTGTAAGATGCTTGTAATCATTGCTTTCATATTTTCTGCTTAAATGCAGTCATAATCTACTTATATTATTTGTATTATCCGGGAACTGTACAAATACTGTGACATATGGACATTACTCTTTTTATTTGTAACAAAGTAACAAGCATTTTCTGTAAAGCTGTATTGAAATATGTATTGTGAAAAGCACTATACAAATAAACTAATTGTATTTGAATTCTAGATATGTATACAACTTATTTTCCACATTTGGCCCAAATCACCATAAAGGTATCTGCATCTGGTCCAGAGCTGGCCCAGTTCTGGTCCAGATCTGGAAAAACAGATCTGTGCCTGTATTGGCCCGTTGTGCCAAAAGACACCAGCCTGAGTCCATTGTGCAGATCTGGACCAGATCTGGCCCAGATGATTTTTGCTCTCTGGGAGCTGATGTCTCTCTTAGCTCTTTTTCACTTTCCACTGGGAAGAAACTCCCAATCACCATCGAGTCAGAATATCTTTGGAGTTCATCACTCTTCAAACCCGGAAGAACGTGATCACGATTCCTACACCACCGAACCGCCAAACCATCAAGACTTTCATCCGAGACTGCATCCGTACGTTCATTCCAGGCCAAGGCAATGCAAGTATCGTACATTTAACTAACCAAAACAGAGGATTAGTATAAGCTATAGACCCTGTTCTAAAACGGCGCTGATGGTTTCACTCAGGTGGTTAACTGACTCTTCTCATAGCTTCATTCTCTGTTTTTTTTTCCTGATGGCTTCATCCATCAAGCCTCATTTGCCCTTTCACATGTATGATTGTTTGTTTGTTTGTTAGACTAGTTTGTGTTAGTGTTTAGTTAATAAAACTCTCGTGCACAAATTACATGAGTTTCTGATTCTGCCTTGCAAATTAATGTCAAATGGTATAACAATAAGGTGTACATTTTTAATAATGTAATTAAAAATTGCCTGACATGATTTGCTTTCATGAAGCAGGCTCTGAACAAACACTTTTCACCGTACCATTTCAACCTGAAATCTCACTGTGACCAGTGTAAAGGTATAATTCACTGTAATCATACATGTTATTATTTGACTTAAATTCAAAGTAATAAAATAAAGTAAGGAGTATTTAGTGCTGGGCAACGATTAATCGTGATTAATCACATCCAAAATTAAAGTTTTTGTGTACATAATATGTGTACTGTGTGTATTTATTATGTATATATAAATATACACACATGCATGAATATATTTAAGAAAATATGTTATGTTTATATATTAAATATATTTATATAAAATATAAATGATATGAATATAAATGTATACATGTAAATACATGTAAATATTTTCAAAATAAATACTGTATGTGTGTGTCTTTATATATACATAATACATATACATAGTACACACACATATATTATATAAACACACACTTTTATTTGGGATTAATCATGGCCCAGCTCTAGGAATATTTCTCAATCCACAGTGAAGTGAAGTTTAATAAAGAACTGTACCTATATTCTGTACATAAATGTTGTGCAACAACAATACATTATCACTAAATTAATTGCATTTTAAATATAGCCTGAATTCCTAAAAAAAGAAAAATACAGCAAACTGAAAATTACCAATGCCTGAATTATATAAAAAAAATATAAAAAATGTGGCACATGAAATTTGAAGTCCTCCACTGTATTTGTCAATTAATAGACTTATTAATTAATTCAGTCTTGTCATTCTTTTAGAAGACAATACAATCCTGAAACTGATATGGTAAAACTTTAAGGTGTAGTTACATGTACTTACTATAGCAATAATCCTAACCCTAAACCAAACTCTAACCCTAATATTAAGAATAAATACATGCAGTTAATTAATTACTATAACAATGTCACCAAAGTGTAACCATTGACACTGCAAAATTACATTCAATATGTATTCATATATTTTCATTATTACCATTCTATAAGCATAACTATTACATAAAATGTTATAATTATTATTAAAAATGTACAACTTATTGTTATACCAGATGTTCCATTATTAAAAAATGGAAATGATAAAAAAATATAATAATTACATTTTAAAACGACAATGATCTGAACATAGAGTAACAAATGACAATTTAAATATATTTTTTTAACGTGTAAACATTTTTCTACACATTATGACTGTGCCACCTTTTATCATCTAGCGTCACTTCAACCAAAAAAAGTGGCAAGACAAAACAGTGGCATTTGTGTGTTTTTAAAATTTGTTTTAGCAAGAAAAAAGATTCCAAAACGATTTCAACTGAGATTTCCACCGCAGAATGAACAGTGATTTGAGATGTGCTTGGAAGGGTTAAATCACAAGGGTCTACAAACATCATTGCATCTCTCCACAGGTGGAGCTACTCTCTTTAACTGCTGCTCCGATTCCATCAGGAGCTGTGATTCACTTCCTCTGACTATCTCATCTCAAAGGTCCAGGGGTCCTCCTCATAGGACCCAAGAACGGAAAAACTCACTGAGGATTGATAAGACCAAAATTGCAGAGGAAATATGAGAATCTGCTGCTAAGGGTTTTGAAACTGAGAACTGGCCGCAGGTTCGACGAAAACTTTCTCTATAAATTAAAAAGACGATGATAGCAGCTGAGACGGTCAGCAAACAGTTTCTCCCCGACTCTTACAGAGAGACAGATGTGACTGAGTTACAGCACCCTAGAAACTGAGCAAAGGTGTGCTTCTCTGTGTGAAAGGTTGCCATAGATTGTTTTGATACTGAAGGATAAGAGAGAGAAAAAGAGAGAGCGAGAGAGAGGTCGGGCTGCTTTCCCAGTGAGCCTGCTCCTCTTTTTGATCATAATATCTTTTGAAGCATAGAATGCGGCATACTAGACCTGACAGATAATAAGATGCCTCAGAGCAGAGAAGGACAAAGAAAGCAAACCTCCAGAGAAGAGGAGGACTATATCTGGCCAATACGTCTGCTGTGTTCTCCACCTGCTTTCATGGGTTAGAATATTCTATAATTTAATGTGTCAGCCTTAGGGCAGTATGTTCAGCACGGGGAACGCTTGGCTTCCAGATGGTGGCCACCTAAAATGGTCATAATCTTCAGCTACTATGATATTGAAGCAGATCACAGAATATCTCATGGCTGAAATCTTGATTTTGTTAAAGCTAAGGGTGTTTTGTTTAAGCAAAACATGTTTTATGGCAGGTATATTTGATAGAGGGAAAGCTGTACATTTATGTTGGTTCTACAAAAAACATCGATAAAACTTTCCACTAAGGTTCCATTTGTTAACATTAGTTAACTACATAAGTTAACATGAACTACCGTATTGGCCCGAATATAAGACGACCCTGATTATAAGACGACCCCCCTTTTTCCAGATGTACCTTTTGGAAAAAGGCTTTTTAAAAACCAAATCTTGTTTTTTTTCTATGTAAAACACATTTTGTCTTCAATTATTTTCATATTGCATATTTTTCCTATTTTAATTTTTGTTTTGAAAGTATGGTAAAAACTGGTAAAATGTACCAACAATCACATTTAAAAAATATACACTTTTTGATATACCATTAAAAAAAAAAACAGGTAGCCCATCTGAATTAGGACATTTAGGCTATCCATCTAATAGCAGCCTACCAAAATCTTATTAACAGTAGAAGTTAAATCTTACTGTAGTCTACAAATCTAGGTACTGTTTTAAGTTTTAAAATCACAAAGGGAGTTTGGTCCCATCAGGCTAACGTGACAGTCACGACTCATGCAGCTGTAAGGTTTTACTCGCGATCTATACAACACACATTACATTACGTATTTCATGGCACACTCATATTATGTGTATTTGGAGCCACTATTGTTGTGGGTGTATTATTGACATGTCAAAGTCTAGACCCTGAATATAAGACGACCGCGTTTTTTCAGACGTATTTCCAAGAAAAAAAACATCGTCTTATATTCGGGTCAATACGGTAATACTGAAAAAACACTGAAAAACATAGCATTTATTAATCTTAGTTTATTTTAATACCAACATTTAATGATACTAAAATCAAAAGTTAGACGAAAATAGACGAAATCAAAAAGGTCTAAACTGAGCAAAAATATGAAATGTGGGGGCCATAAATATGCTTAGAATACATTGCAATACAATGACGATTGAGATACAGACTAATAAACGTTCCTCAAAAGCAAGATGTAATATATTCGATACACACTAAAAATGTATGTTTGGATAATCAAGTAAATCTAAGTTGCTTCAGCCAAGTACTTTTTCATCTTGAAATTTTACTAGCAATATAACATTTATTCTCACAGTAACTTAAGATTTTACACTAAATAACATTTTTAGACGTTTGAAG